TTAGTTTCTTTATGTACCAGATCATAGCTGCTGGCTTGGAGCACTTTGGTCTCTTATAAGAGTGCACAGAGGAGGAGGAGAAACCTTTCTTTTTCACCACTGATGCTACTGATTAGTTGAGGCATTGCAGAGCCTTGTGCACAAACCCAGTGTTTGTGGTTGTCATGTATGGTATGTGTTCCCCTTCACTGGGGAAGTAGTGCCTTGGTTTTTCAATTGTGTTCTGAACAGCCTTACCTTGGCCTTGTATAGACTCACCCTTCAGTTTTCTTTTTTTCATCCATCTTTCTTCCTGCTTTGACGACTCCCATTTGATGAGGGGATGGCAACTCTGGAAGCCAACTGCTGTGGTAACACCTGACTGAGAGCAGACACGTTATCATAGAATCATGGACTCATAGAAAGGCTCAGGTTGGAAGACACCTCAAGGATCATCCAGTTCCAACCCCCTGCCATGGTCAGGGCTACCAACCAGGCACTAGATCGGTTTGCACAGCCTCCATCCAGACTAGCCTTGAACAAATGTTTCTGCTTGCCCCCTTGTTGAAAGGAAAAGAAGATAATTAAGATGGAGCCTGGTTCTCCCTTTGCCTGACCTTACTGGAAGGGTAACTGTGCTGATGGCTTGCTCCAGCTGGCTGTGCTGGCAGTGAGTCAGTGGCACCGTGTGGTCAATTGCCTCAAAGTTGCAAAGGAAATGCATAACATGAGTTATTGCTGCTTTGCATTAGCACTGTGGGCAGTAGTTCGTAATGAAGGTGGTGGAAGAATATTGTATTCCATCCCTGGAATGTGGATGGAAGTCGATATGGGCCTGCCTATGTTCAAACTACCTTGTACTGTGACCCTGCAAGAAACTTCCTGCTAAAATCCTTGTAGCTTGCAGTCATGCAGCATCATGGCATCCTTCACGTGAGGGAAATGCTGAGCCCTACCTACCTTCTGCTACATTCATGATTCTCTTCACTTTCCCTGCTGCCCAGCTTTGTAGGATAATCTTCTCTTCTTATCCTTAAGCAAAGCACAGCCCTGCTGTTCTTGAGCTCGTTACGTTTCTGTTGCAAACAAATAGTAGTTCTTCCTTCTGTTGCTCTTTGCGGATCAAAAGCAGTTTGAAATTTTAGTGTTTTCAGATACTGTGACCCTGATGATGTATGATGCTCTGCGAGTAGAGGAATGAAAGGTAGACTTAGCACTGAAGAAGTGCTAGTGCCCCAGAGGCCGGGTATCGTGCAGACAGTGCCCTGTTGTATGGCCCTTTGCCAGCATCCTCCAGAGGAGAACATTAGGACTGGTGAATTGCCAGCTCTTAGCTGTGCATATCTTTCTCCGGCTCCTTGAAATCAGGATATGATTTCAAGATGGTATAAATCAACCGGTTACTTGATATAATGGCAAAGTAAAACTGTAACAGGTGCCTGGGGATAACTCATATGCGTACCACTTCTAGCTCTCCTCCTCTGAAAGCCATTCCCTTGCATGGCAGAGACATGCATCTTTACGCAAGGAAATACCAAGGTTGTCCCTTTCAAAGAGGAGCTTTCGGCTCCTCTTGCTGAGACTGAATGCTTCCGAAGCTGTTTATAACTGCATGTTCCCTAAGCTTTGAAAGGAGCTAGCTGTCCGTGCCCTTCCTAGCTTTTTCTTCTGCTTGCACATTAAAGCTTTTATTTTTCATGCTGTTGTTTTTAACCTGACAGTAACTTGATCTCTCTTCACTTTTTTTTTTTTTTTCCCCTCCTCACTCAAAATTGTCATAAGGGAAATCTCTCCTCTTGCTCTTTTCTGTGTTCCGAGTAACTGATGGCTGCTTTGTGCCAGAGCAGCTGGGGTTCCTTATGACAAGCTGAGATGTCTCCCTGCCCAGAACCTCCTTTCTCATTTCAGCTACACATAAATGTTCTGGGTGGGGAAGGTGGGTAATAACGCTTTCCTCCCCTGCTGGCCTTTGTCTCTAATTAGCCACTGCTCAAAGGACATCTTTTCCTGCAGTGCTGATCAGATGATATGGGAAGGGATACGTGACAGACGGCTCTCGGTGTCTCAGCCCACCCAGGGGTGGATGAGCTCTCCACTCCCTGGCAGAGGAATCCCTGGCATGTGAGAACGGAGGTGGTTCCCAAGGAAGAGGTTTTTGAAGAGGACACGGCTTTATTCTTTGCTTCCCTCCTTTTAAGAAGGGATAAGGAGTGGGTTCATGTTCCCACTCCTTCACAAAGGCAACTGAGCAGTGAAAACTGCCTCCTGGGAAATGTCGGCAGCGGAACAGCAGAGGGTACTGCAGGGCCAGCTTGCTTTGGCAGAGCTGCAGGGCAGGCTGCGATAACGGGGAGGCAATGCAGCCATGCACGGGCTGAGGAGCTGCAGAGCTTGTGCTGAGCCTGACGGACAGTGATGTATGCAAATGTCAAGTGAGGAAAATAAGCTCTGCTTCTTCAAACCGCGTGTCCTGCTAGGTTGACATGGCACACCAGAGCCTGGAAAGTGAAGCAGTTTGTTAAATGTCAGGAGCTACAACTTCTGTTAGGGAGTTTCCCGTGGCATGTGGAGCATTGAGGCCACCTGGAAAGATGATGAAGACCTGCTGCACGTGATTCCTCCAGCACTTGTCCTGTGTGCTGGGCCAGCTCAGAGGATGCTGGCTGCTATGCATTTGTGCCCTGTAGGAACTGGAGCCTTACTGGAGCCTCACCTGAGCCTTGGTGACCTGATGTCCAGAGGTAATACCTTGGAGGAAGTACAGGATGCTCAACTGGAGAGAGCTGCACTAATGTATCAGCAAGGGATGTCTTCCAGCAGCCTCTGATTGCTGTCTTTCCAGATTCCTTTTATTCTTCTCTTCCCCATATGTCAGGATGGAGCAAAACTGGTGGTGCAGAAGGAAGAGATGGCAGATACTCTTTCTTGAGTGAGTGGTCCTTCTGCTCCTGAAAGACAATAACAAAGGCTTTAAGATAAATAAAATTCCCTGGGCACAATGAGATGCCCTTGGGTTTCCATAGCCTCTTGCTTTAGCCCCATAAAGAACGCCTGAGGAAGAGCAAGATGGTCCTTTACAGCTTCAGAGAAGGGAACAGCACCAGGCCCTCCATCGCTGGATCACCACAGAGGTAGCCTTTCGTGAGCTAGGCCATGGTCGTGGTAGGTCCCTCCACTGTGCTGTGTCAAAATATATCAAAAGTAAAGCCTGTAACTCTTCCATTGGCTTCAGGCTTACAGTCTCTGTTTTTACGCTGAAATAACTCCATCAGTAAGGAAGTTGCCACAGCCAGAATGCAGGGGATGGCATTGGCGAATGTCCTAAAATTTTCACTAAAAAGGCAACAGCGAAGCTTCTAGAAATGCTTGCTGCTGAACTATAAGATATGAACATGGACACCCCTTCTATATCAAAGTCCATGTTGGAGCTCTCGGTAGGCGGCCAGATATGATTTCCTTTGAGCGGCTGCCATCTGCCTAAATTTATGGTTTTTCCCTTCAGCATTAAGTTCTCCCGAGGTTAATCAGTAAACGTGTCCTGTTGTGTTTCACTCGTTCCCCTTGGGTGGGCTGGACGCTTCTCCACTCTGCTCCCATCCAGGATGCACGTGGGCCGTGGGAAATGCCAGGCTGGGAAAGGGGAGTACCCTAGCATGGGGCCGAGGGCTTGGGCTGCCTCTGAGTGCTGCGTGGGATTTATAAGCAATGGCATGGGATGTGGCATACCTGTCGTGGAGACCTTTGGCTGAGGGAGGAGACTCTCAGGCACATGTGTGGGCGCCATACCATGGTGGGGAGCTGCCATTGAGGAACATATCGGAACATGTCGGGAGCGAGCTGGTGGGTTTCCTGGGCATGGAGGGTTTTACGCTTTTGGGGGGAGAGCCCCCACCTTGCCAAGGTTTAGGTCACCTTTTTCCCTTGCCTGTTTGCCTTAACCTTCCCTAAGCAGCAGCATGCAGTTGCCTTTCCTTGTTCTGCCTGGTGAAGTGTTGGGTGAGGTTGTTTTTTTTTCTTCCTTTTTTATTTTTTCCCCTTCTTCCTTTTTCTGGATTGTAGTCTTCAATCACTTTTCTGCCTGACAGCAGCTCTGCGTTCCCAGCACGTACTGGCAGAGGGGAGGTGGTATAGGAAGAGAATGAAGGCTGTTTTTTTTTTTTTATTATTGTTCTGAAGAAAGGGCTGAGCACTGCTGGCTCCTTGCTGGCCTGATGTGGATCCATCGTGACAGCACTATATTGCCAGCAGAGACAGCTAGGCAGTTTTTTAGCCACCTTTATACAGATGCAAAAAACCCCCTCAGCATCTGGTCCACAGAAGATGAAAAGCAAAGGGAGACAGCTGGAAACATAGTGGGCACAGAGGGATGGGAGGGGAATAAAAGCGAAAATCTTAACACTTTTTCTCTATTTCCCATACAAACTTGGCTAGCATTTCTTAGGAACAAGGGGTTTTTAAGGTGTGTGTTGTGAGTAAACACTGGAAAGATCTGAGAAGCGTGGGTGTTTTCCTGGTCCTGGCAGCCTGGCTATGAGCTCAATCCCTTAAGACTGCCTTTCTTATGCTGGCTGGGTTTCAGCTGCGTACCCTCTACTCTCTCTCATCCCTCTTGCTCACCTGTTCTCTCTTCATCTTCCCTGACTCAAGGCCTGTGTTTATTTGTTCCCATCAGTGAGTGGGGACAAATGTGCCAAGTGCAGTGCCTTACAGGATAATGAACTTCTTTTGTTGCGGATTTCTCATCTTTCTACCCCATCGCCAGCACCTTTCCTCTCTTTGTGAGACTACAAGGCTGTAACTGCTCTAGAGGAGGTTCAGCTTGGTATAACCCATCCAAAGCAAAAGGCCCACTAAAAATGTGGGGGTGTGGGGGATTTGGTTTGGGTTCAAGTCTTGATAGATGCATGCTGAGTTTGGACCTGCTTTGTAGCACACCCCAGCCTATTTTCCTACCACTAGCAAGCTTTTTTGCACCCTGGTGATTCCCAAACATGACTTTCCTTTTCATGGCTTTTCCACAGGATGAAGATGAGACGCCATAAGCTCTTTCTGACTCTCTGCATGGCTGGTCTCTGCCTCATCTCCTTCTTGCACTTCCTGAAGGCCCTTTCCTATGTCACCTTCCCCCGGGACCTGGCTTCACTTAGCCCCAACCTCGTCTCCAGCTTCTTCTGGAACAATGCCCCCGTCACGCCACAGGTTAGCCCTGAGCCGGGGGGTGCAGAGTTCCTCCGCACACCCCTGTACTCTCACTCTCCCTTGCTCCAGCCCCTGCCACCCAGCAGAGCCAGCGAAGAGCTGCACAAAGTCGAGTTTGTGCTGCCGGAAGACACGACGGAATATTTTGTCCGAACCAAAGCCGGTGGCGTCTGCTTTAAACCGGGTACCAAGGTGTTGGAGAAGCCACCAGCGGGAGGGCGGCCAGAGGAGCGCGCGGATGGTGCGGCCTCAGGGCGTCCCGCTCGCAAACCGCTGAGCGCCGGTGGGACCAAGCGGCGCAAGTGGGTGGAGTGTGTGTGCTTGCCGGGCTGGCACGGCCCCAGCTGTGGCGTTCCCACCGTGGTCCAATACTCCAACCTGCCCACCAAGGACCGCCTGGTGCCACGGGAGATCCCCCGGCGGGTCATCAACGCTATCAACATAAACCATGAGTTTGACCTGCTGGATGTCCGCTTCCACGAGCTGGGAGATGTGGTGGACGTCTTTGTGGTGTGCGAGTCGAACTTCACGGCCTACGGAGAGCCACGGCCCCTCAAGTTCCGCGAGATGCTCCTCAACGGCTCCTATGAGTACATCCGCCACAAAGTGCTCTATGTCTTCCTGGACCACTTCCCCGCTGGTGGGCGCCAGGATGGCTGGATCGCTGACGATTACCTGCGCACCTTCCTCACCCGAGATGGCGTGTCTCGCCTCCGCAACCTGCGCCCGGATGATGTCTTCATCATCGACGATGCTGATGAGATCCCGGCTCGTGACGGCGTGCTCTTCCTCAAGCTCTACGATGGCTGGACGGAACCCTTCGCCTTTCACATGCGCAAGTCTCTCTATGGCTTCTTCTGGAAGCAACCGGGCACCTTGGAGGTGGTCTCAGGCTGCACTATGGGGATGCTCCAGGCTGTCTATGCTACTGATGGGATCCGTCTGCGGCGCCGTGAATACTACACCATGCCTGGCTTCCGGCAGTATGAGAACAGCACGGGACACATCCTGGTGCAGTGGTCGCTGGGCAGCCCCCTCCACTTTGCTGGCTGGCACTGCTCCTGGTGTTTCACCCCAGAGGGGATCTACTTCAAACTGGTGTCGGCCCAGAATGGGGACTTCCCCCGTTGGGGTGACTACGAGGATAAACGAGACCTCAATTATATCCGGGAGCTGATCCGGACTGGTGGCTGGTTTGATGGTACAACGCAGGAATATCCCCCTGCTGACCCCAAGGAGCACATGTATGCTCCCAAGTATCTGCTCAAGAACTACCAGCAGTTCCACTACTTGCTGGAGAACCCGTACCGAAAAGCGGAGGGTGCTGGTTGAGATCGCTGGACTCATGTGGGAAATCGGAACTTCACGACAAAGGGAAAGAGTCGGGTGTTTGTCTGTTCCTTTCTTTCTTGTTTTCTTTGATTCCAGATGGGGTGTGCCATTTCTCCATGTCTCTGTCCTCCCTCCCTTCTCTTCTTCCCAGGGTGATGCCTGGGGACAAATTCCTCAGACAAATGAAGGGAGACCTGGGCAGGAGGAGGGGAGAGGTGTGGGCAGTAGCATAAAGACCTCCCTGCGTCTTCTGGACCTTTCTGCTGGCTGGAGAGACGTGCTGCATCCAGCTGGTGGGTTTTCCTCCTCAGGGGGCTGGGAGGGCTCCCTGAGGAGAGAGGGCAGCTGTTCCCCTCCACCTTCATCTGTTGTGGATCGGAGCAAGCACAGATGTGAGCCTGAGCTGTTCATTGAGTGTTTGAGTCAGCAGGCACAAAGTGATGCGAGGGGTCACGTGTGCAGATGTGTGTCACAGGCATTTTTTGGATGAGTGAATGTGCAAAAGCATCTCAGTATGCGTTTTTTTTTATACCTCTATGTCAAAGTATTTTGGGAAAGGCAAATCCTTTGCTTCCAAGGTGTTCTCCCCTACACGCTGCCTCCTCCCACAAATTTAGTATATCTGTCCGGGGCTGTCTCTTGGCCTGATGCTTTACCAGAACTGAAGCAGGCAGGTGGAAAGCAGAGAAGAAAGCCAATTTTTTTTATTATTGTTTTTTTTTTTTTTTTTTCTCTATCTGTTTACTCCCTTTTCACCCTGCCCCCACAATGCTGCACTGGCTTGCTCCACAGGGGCTGAAGCATTTTCCCTGCAGCATGTGCTTTGTTTGGGTCTTGGATAAGCTGCAGGGGACTAAATCAGATGGTGGGAGTATATGTTTACAAGTGCATGGTTTCCTATGTGCATGAGTGCTAACATGCATGGTTTTGGTATGCACGTGGGTGTTTGTTACTGGTGTTGGGAGGGGAGGGGTCAAAGTTGGTCTTGGGTGGTGTGCGTGTTTTCAGGAAATGGTGGCATCCATAAGCTGTGATCTGTCTTGTCATGGATGACATTTCGGGGAGAGCATCAGCTCTTCATAGCAGGGTGTGCCATGTGGAGCTCTTACATGCCTCTCTGGCTGCCTTTGCACCCTTTTGGGCTGTGCCTGCTGCAAGTATTCTGTTTACATGTGCTGGCTATTTCTTCTTGCCATGGGGGAAATTAGAGGAGAAGGGCAAAGTTCTGAGTCACTGATGGGTGTTGTGGGGAAACACAAAGCATGTCAAGGCACAGGACCCACTGAGAACTTGTGGAGAATGGAGCTGTGGGTAGAATCCCTCTGGGGCAAGAGGACTTTTCTGGGACAATCATGCAATCCACAGCCTGGACTGTGCATATGAGGCCGTGCAGAGTAGAGGAGATGTAGGATGAAATTCCTTGCAGCTGGTGGGCCAGTGTCTAACGGAAGTGGCCACTGATGGGTAGCGAAGATTAGCCTGTTGCTGTAGTAGACTGGTTCAGCTCATTGAGGAGGCAGATTGGCATCTCCACCCTCACCACCCTTCCTTAGCAGATGGCTTGACAGGGTGCCCAGAGCCCACGCTGTGGTGGGAAGAGGGAGAAAAACACAAATGTGTTCTGTTGGCCTTACAGTGGAAATATTGGCTCATCTTCCAAACAAATAAGTGAGGATCATGTGGAGGAGTAGAATGTTGTCATAACGAAGAGTGACCCTGCCATCAGGCCAGCTGGAACAAGAGCGTTTCCATTGACCTCAACTCACTCCATCAGGGCTTCACATTCCTGTGTCATCCATCCCATTCTCTCCATTGCGCTCCATTCCTATCTCTGTCTCTCTCTCTTCCTCTATATGCTTCTCTAGAGAAGTGAAAAGCATCAGGAAAGATAATTTGGTTCCCTAAGAAGAATTAAATTTGAACAGAAAGATGATCGTTTTGCTGATCAAACTGAGTTGGAGTTCATCTTAGTTCCTTCCCCCCATCTCAAGTGCCACAATGCCTGCTTGGAAGAACTGAGGGATCCCCTCTTTTCTCGTTTTGTTTTGTTTGTTTTTGTGTTCTTTTACATATATATGTGTATGCTGCTGTTTTCCTTTGTGATGTGTCTCCCAAAAAGAGGAAAGTCCCTTTGAGAACTGAGCAGGAGAAGGCTTGGTGGGTGGAATGCTCTCCCTTCAAAGAGAAGCTGTGGCTGTGCTGAGCTCAGTCTTGTTGATGCAGGAGGGAATTTTGCCACGGTGACAGGGAAGTCTTAGGCAGGGGGAGACTGTAGAGAAATCAGGGCTCAGATGAGAAAGGAGGAGTCACTTTTAGCAAGATTAGAGCGATAGTACTGAGACTGCTGCATGAGAGCTTTCCCCAGGGATAGCCAGAGGAGAGCCCAGTGTATTGACACAAGGGATTTCGTAGCAGTAACTTGAAAAGTGAAAAGGGAAGAAGCTATTCCTTATTTTCAATCTAGGACTTACGTTCAGGCATCACCTTACCCTGGTGATAGCAATACAAACCTCAGGTCAGGCATTCCTGAAGACGAGAGAGAAGTCAGTCTTTGTATGGGTGCTTTGGGAGCAGCAGAGCCCCACAAAAAACAGACTAAAGCACACGCATGCTGAGGCTGCACCACCCAAACTGCAGTGGCAGCTGCCTCTCCCATCCTACCAGCCCTTCCCATACATGGGCTCCCGTGGGGATTTTTAGTGCACTGCAAGTTGTGTGTTCATCACTGGGGTATGGTTTTCGTCTCAGGAGATTCAGATAAGCTGTAACTGCAGTTATCAGCATCTCCTATTCCCAAAGTTCAGCCTGTTCCCTTCCCTCCCCTCTCTTCCACTATTTGCTCAATTGTTCCCCTCCTCTCTCTTCTGAGAAGGTCCCACTGGAACAGGCAAGAGCAGCAGTGGGGCTCTTCTGCATGACTCTGGCCCTGTCCACCTCCTGGATGTCTCCATTTCCTTATTCTTAGGAAATCAAATTTAAAACAGGCTTCTGTTATGGATGGAGGAAGGGACTTCACAGCTGAAATGCATTTTTTCATTTTCTTTCTCAAGAATCATCCAGTGTTTTGATTTAAGGCCAAACCAGTTAATGTTCCTGTTGTTTCTGTAAGCCCTGTGTTTATTATCCTTAGGGAGTTGGAGTGCTTGTCATTAAAAGTCTTCCATCGCCTCCCTTGAGAGATGGAGACAAGCACGATGACTTCTGCACAGCGATTTCCCAAGGTGGTGGCTTGCCCTCAGCCATCCCTGTCTGAGCCAGACAATGAAGTTTGGAAAGGGATAAACAGAAAACCAAATCCCATTCTGCCCCAGGACTGGTTATTGCAGCAAAGCCATGAGCCCACTGTCTTTCTGGAGCCAACGTTGTCCGTGGTTCACCAACCTTTCCCCGCAGCTGTGTGCTTTTTCTTCCCCAGAACCTTTCCACCTTCAGATTAATTGTGTTATCTGTAATTGGTGCATCCCTATACTTTGCCCTTCTTTCTGCCCAACTCTGCTTGACTTCCTTTGTGCCCTTGCGTGGCTTTGAGGTGGGGAGCTTCTTTTCCTCCTTCCTCCCAGGTGAAGGAGAGGATGTGGGCTAGTGCCTCTGTCCCTCCAGAGGAACAATGGCAGTGATGTGGTGCAGTACCCAGCAAGGGATGGGATGGGGTTGTGCCTGCATGAAGGACAACACACTCAACAATCTGCTCTCACTGTTGCTTTCTCTGATCCCTGTGTTCTGCTGAGGTGTTTGCTGTTGTGCAGCCTGTTCTTTGTGCCTCTGTGCTGGATAAGGGAAGGGGACCTTGTGGCCTCCAGGTAACTTATGAATCAGGGTGGGGGCAGGGTCAGTGCAGAACGGGTATTTGTTCCCCTGGTGCCTCTTGGTGTGTCCTTATGGGGTGGCAGTGTCTCTTCTTGTCCCGCTGCTCCTGCCAGCACTACGTGGCTGCTATGCCTCTGCACTGTGAAGACGTGTCGGGAGTCGCTCCTGGTCCTGTTAGCGAACACTGGTGGTGAAGAGGGAAGGGATGGCTCATCCTGGCCTCACTGACCTCAAGCCTTGGTGAGAAGGGAGAGAAGTATGGTAGAATGGATCCCAAATCCCTCTATTGCTGCGTTTCCCCTATCCACCAAAAAATCTTCTGATTTCTGAGACATTGGACGAATCTGCTCCTATTGAAAAAGAGGGGGAGCTGGAGATGTCAGGAGTGGCTCAAATCCAGCACCAAGGAGAGCTGTTTCTGATGCTATATACCAACATCTAAAACATTGGGGACTATAGACAATGGCTTAAAAAGGGATCTGAAATGCTCTGAAACTAAGAATCAAAGCCACTGTTGTTTTTTTTTCCTTCCTGTGAGGATGGTGATGCAGAATTGTCCTGGAGGAAGCCCAGCAGCACTGCTGACGTTGGGTTCCACCTGGACCTGCTGGTGGTGATGCCAGGACACTGTATTGGCAAAAGAATGCGTGGACTTACCAAAAACAATTTAAAAAAAAAAAGAATCTGCAAAGCTCCTTTCCACTCTGTAATTTATAAACAGCAAGTAATAATGAACTTTTTGTAAGGATAAATCAAATGTACATTCTGAAATCATTTTCTCTGTAAATGGTTGGATTTCATTTCACCCTTAAAGGGATGCTTAAAAGGAGGAAATAATAAAAATAATAATAATTAAAAAAAATTACAAGGTCTGAAAGGAAACCAAGGCATGTGTGTGGTAGCTTTTATTTCTGAGCACGGGAGGTTGCTGCTTCCCACTTCAGTGGGACTGAGGTTCATAGGAAGGAGGTTGAGGGGCAGCCCCAGTGCTTTGAGGGATGACTCCTGTGCCCATAGCAACCCTATTCTGTGTGTTGGGTGAGTACAAGGACGTGTGGGGATGTAACTGGGGAGCACAGCATCACCACTCACAAAATGGTCACATGCCACCATGCCCTGTCCCTTCATGTCCTCACTTTCAAATGAAGCCATGGAAAACCTGGAGCCCCAGCTGAAACCTTTCCACTACAAAAATGTCTCTCTCATGACTGATTTTCTGTGCAGTGTGTGAGAGAGCATGACCTCCTTGGCTTATTTTTAAAGTCATCTAAGGTAATTTTGGCTGTTCCCATTACTCCCTATCAAAGCCTGGTCCTGCCCTGAATCCTCCTGAGCATCTGCTCTCAGCATTGGCTTTGGCAAGGGACCTTCAGGAGCTCCTGTGGAATCTGCAACTATTTCATTTTTTAGTGTTTTTAAGTGCCTTGTGCTTTGAATTTGTTCCTGGTCTCAATGAGAGACAACAAAAGACAAAACTAGACATTATTGGCTAGTTTCCTTAGACTCTTAGATTGAATCACAGAATCACTGAGGTTGGAAAAGACCTCTAAGATCACAAAGTCCAACCGTGAGCCCATCTCTACCATGCCTACCAACTGTGTCACGTCCACACGGTTCTGGAAATGACTCCACCACCTCCTTATCAGCCTGTGTCACTGCAGCATCACTCTTTTGAATAAGTTGTTTTTCCTAACACCCAACCTGCACCTCCCCTGGTGCACCTTGGGGCCATTCCCTCTCATCCTATCACTGTTACATAGGAGAAGAGGCCAATTCCACTTCCCTACAACTTCCATTCAGGTTGTTGTAGGGATTGAGATCCATTTTCTCCTTCATTTCTTCTACAGTCCTCTGGTGCTTTTATTTTCCCCCTTGTGAGAGGCTTTCCATCAAACTGGAATTTCATCATCCATCACTGATGCCTTACTGTTGCTTCTGTCCTTCTTTCTGGAGCAAAGAGCCTGGAATGAACACACACTCAAAATTAACAGATAACATTTTATATGAAGAATTTTTAGCTTCCTACTGGTTGCTGTATTTTTGCACCCTAATAGGGAGTATTCTAAAAATAGGCAATCACCAAAAAGTCTCTGAACTTGCAGGTTTTCAAAAAGGGAAGACAAGTCTGAATGCTTGGGCCCATGGCAACTTAGCAAGACAGTTTAAGAAATGAGAGTTGATTTGGTCAAAGGTTCTCACTTGGATTCTTCTTGCCTCTAGTACAAAATCTTTTCCTGACATTTATATTAAGAAGCAATATAAATGGTATTTCTTGATGTCTTACAACATTTTATGAAAAGACATTGACAAACACCAAGACCTTTCCCCCGAGAAAGCACCAGTTTCTGCTGTGTGAGCTGGAGGAGGGATTAACTCTTCCATGAACTTCCATGAAGAGTCCATGGTGGGGACTCTCATTTGCAGAGCTGATGATGGATTGAGCATGGGGACACATGGCTGTGCCCTCTTTCAGAGTCAGCCCCTGCATCCTTCAAAATGGATTGGAATGGATTTTGGTACACACAGCCTGCATCTTGGATATGGATAGGCAGCTTTAAACATTGCATTGAACCATGAACGTTCAGGGCATGTGGCACAGAATCACTGAATGGTTCAGGTTGAAGAGGACCTTAAAGCCCACTCAGTTCCAACTCCTGCCCTGGGCAGAGCTGCCACCTACCAGGTCAGACTGCCCAAGCTTTGCTGATGTGGGGGATAGACACGCTGCTTCCAAACACCAGAGTGCTTAGAAACAAAATGACTTTAATATAAACTTACAGCATCACTTAAAGATCTGGAAAGGGGGATACCAAGAGCCTGGCTTGTTGGCTGTTTGTTTTCGTTGCTCAGATACATTTGTTCCAGCACAAGGGCAAAGCTTAATAAGCTGTTTCACATGGACAGTAAATTTTTAATTATTAGCTTGCTTCTTTTTCCTAAGCCTAGTGGCTCAGCTGGGGCAGCAGCTGGGAACAGCCACCCCAGCCATGTCGAGCAGCTCCGTGCTCAGCTGCAGGTGCCAGTGCCCCGACAGGGATGATTTGGCCATAGTGATGGCAGAAGGGAGTTGTGTGCTTGCTTCCAGCACTGGTACATGTTTGTGTGGCTCACCAGCATGCTCGTACCCTGGCTGTAGCAAATCTCGTGGGAGCCAGCTTTGCTCTGTCACTGCAAAATGGCATCCAAGGAGCAGAGCAGAGCAAAGCTGTCCCATCTGGGGAAAGGGCTCCAGCTCAAAGCAAGGCACTGACCTGAGGGACGCCAGTGCTGGGGAGAGGAGCTGACTGGGGGCTGGGCTGCCACGAGCGGTGCCTTTGTGGCAGGCAGAGGCACGTCAGCAAAGGGTAAGGATCAGCCCCTTCCAGCCAGTGTTTGGGCCATTACTGTAAGCATCTCTGAGAACTCCAAACATAGACGCTTTCTTGGAATTAAAGAAAATTTGGCAATCTTGACATTTTGAATGTTCCTGGTTGTGGCTTTCTTTCTTTCTTTCTTTTCCTTCCTTCTTTCCTTCTTTCTCTTTCTTTCTTTCTTTCTTTCTTTCTTTCTTTCTTTCTTTCTTTCTTTCTTTCTTTCTTTCTTTCCTTTCTAGCAAAGAGAGATAACATAGTCCTTACCATTGTTTGAAATACATTTTATCTATGTAAAGCCACAAATCTTTCAAGGCCATCTCTCTCCTCACTCTGCCAAATGAAATAAAAAATTAAAAAAACCCACATTGTTTCATTTCTGCTTATCTTTCCTGTGCCTTACGGCTCAGACCATGACTCCCTTGGCTGAAATCCATCCCAGTAATGATTTAATTTGGGAGCCACACTTCACCTTTCTAAAAATAAGGAAAACTGAGAAGAAGAGTGGCAAAGCTGTGCCAAATAAAGATATGAAATGACTTCTACAGGAGCTCGAATTAAAGAAACCATGTTGCTCAGAATATGCATAAAATCAGACCTTGTAAGCCTGCCTCTATGCAGCAAGCTCTTTCCTGGCATTTTAGCCCTATTCTACAGCCTGGACCTTTTCCAAAGAGAGAGCAACAAATCATCAGTCATATCTTTTTTTATTTTTTTTCCCCAGACACTTACTAAGAACCAGGCACACATGCAAAAATAAAGGAATGTTGAAAACATCCACCCACTTCTGTTTGATTGTCGGTGTTTTTAAAGGATTTGGCACATGTTGTTGCCCAGGACTGGACGTCAAACTGCTGCAAAGCCCAAACCAGACAGATGTCCCTAAATGGGACAGAAATTAATCTAACTGAGGACACATGATTTAATGGGACAAAATGTGAATTTGGTGCGGTGGCAGCTCGGTGCATGAGATCCTGGGCTCTAGGGCTTGAGGCTGAAAGCCCTACTTTGGAAGCAGTTAGGCTGTGAGCTCTTCCTATCTTCCCCCTGGCAAAAAGAGACCCCCATAATTCCTCCCCGGCTGCTCTCTGAAGCTGTGACTGAAGGTTGGGTCTGGGCTGTGTGTCAGGAATGTACCTTGAAAGGCAGTGCTCTCTCCTCCCTCAGCACCTGTGTTCCTTCTCAGCTGTGTTTGTTCAACATCAAAGCTGATGGATTCAGTGGAAAGAAGCCATCAGCACAAGCATTGGTTATTCTCCATTGCTGGCACATCATAGATGGAAAGCAGGAGCAAGATATCATTATTTCTGCTATGTTATCAACAGCAACCCAGTTTTTTTTTTTTCTTTTTTTTTCTTTTTTCTTCTTTTTTTTTTCCTTTATTTTTCTTTTCTTCTTTCCTTCCACCAAATGCCAGTCTGCCAGATTGTGGAAAGTCATTAAAATGCAGAAGGATGCAAAGCATCCACTTAGGGCACAAATGCCACTATTCTTTGCAATTGCTCAAGAAAAGTCAAGAACTCGGAGAACAAAAGAGAAAGCTGTTGAACTGGTCCAAAAGGTCTCTTTATGATAAGATACGATGGATATTATGCCCATGCTCAGATGAGGCTGGAAGGTCACTACCTATCTTCCCTGCTCCTAACCAGCAGGAACAGAGCCATGGTTCCAGAGCCTCCCAGGAGAAACTGAGAAGGGGTATACCTGGCCTTACGCCCAGGTAACAGCCTGGGTTATTGTGCCTTGTAATCCATGCTGCCTTTGATATTTCACAAGCTCACTTCATCATTTGGGGAAACAAAAGTCATTATTGTTCTCTGAGCATACGGTGAAGGTGTACTCTCTACTCTGCCTGCAGTAAAGGGAATAAATTGACTTTTTTGCAGGGATGCAGGCTGGAGACATGGGGCCTCAGCCCACTGTAGGCCCCACCTTCCCAGAGGGCCCATGGGGAGGCGAAAGGCAGAAAGGGCATCCTGGACAGACACTGAGCAGCACTGCAGGCAGCGGGACAAGGGGTCAGCATCCTGTCAGAGCAGCACAAGTCCATCCTACACCAGGGCTGCAGGGGTACTGTGTGTCATGGGGTCAACAGAGGAGTAGGCTGGGCTGGGAAGCACCGAGGGGGCTGTTGCTTCACTGCAGGCAGAATTCAAGTTCATAACCCCAGCATGTTGTCAGCAGTCCAGCAGTGGGAAAGCAATGGATGCACGTCACTCTGCCTTTGCACCTGCCCACTTTGCAAGACCAGAGGGGCACACAATGAGACGCAGACACGTGGAGCACACAGCAGTGAAGTGGTGGCAGGCACAGCAAGCCCTGGGGTGCTGGGGCAGTTGGGGGCAGGCAGAGCAGCACGGCTGGAGGAGTTCACAACGCACGCACGCAGCTACTGGCAAAGGGCCCAGGAGCTGGCAAGTGGCCCAGGGAGAAAAAAACAGAACAAAACACTAAAACAGGCACAACCAAAGGGGGCCAGGATGGGGAGGGGTACTTGTGGAAGCCCATGGTCCTTGGCTCCCACAGCAAGAAGGGACAGAAAGTCCCTGAAAGTCCCTAAAAGCAACCTTGCCCAGGAAGGTCAGCACATTTGGCACATTCTAAGTGGCTCAAAACAAGGAGCTGAACTTCAGAGGAAGGAGGTCTTACTCTCCTGTGCCATGGTCGCACATGGCACACTCAGCCTTCCTAGTACATGCAGGTAGATCCTGAGAGGAAGCACAGTTTGAAATCTTCTGCCTGGGACTTGGGGTGAAGGAGAACATGGGGAGCAAGGCTGGAATCACCTAACACGGTGCCACTGGTTCAAAGCCCACCCTGCTGCACATCTTGGAACAGTTTGATCCCATTTGTACTGCATCAGGGATTTGCCACGTGTAGCTGTGAAAGTTTTGGTCCAGACTTTGGAGTTTCAGGGACTGGACTTATCAGCGCACCTGTTCAGATAACTGTTATGAGGAGCAAAGTATTTATGCGGCAACCCTAGGGGGAATTCAAGTGGAAAGTTCAAAAATCAGTGTTCATTCTGGCAGAAGGCTAAGGGTAGAGAATATGAAGGCTGCCTCTGATGTCCCATATAGCTCAGAGTCTAAGCAGATGATCTGGAAAAAAAGGATGAGCAATGTACTAAACATTTTTAAAAGATGACTCAAAGCTATAGACTCTTTAGGAGATCAGAAAGGACTGTAAGTAAAATGCAAATGTGGCAAATGGGCAACAACATGCGTTTGCCAAGGTTTAACTTGTCAAATGCCAAGTAAGAAAAAAAAAAAAAAAAATTCCACACAGATATTATGAAGCTCCAGATTGCCTGTAGCAACTTAGGGAAGGGTATGAATATCACACAAATCCTGAATCTGTGAGTGGATGCAGGTTAGAAAAGAGCACACACAAAACATTAGCATGCAGAAGGAAGAAGAGGAGAATAATATGGAAAATATGATAATGCTATTATGTAAATCAGCAGCGTAGCCTCTCTGGGAATACTGTCTGCAGTTCAAGCAAGCCTTTCTCGGAAAGGGCTGATTAGGGGCATGGCGAAGTCGCTCACAAAGAGAGATCAAAATGATTGGGGCTGTTTATCTCAGAAAGGAAATTAACAAGAGGAGGTTGGCACAGACCAAGCCAGTCCGGAGCTTCTGGTTTTCTTCCCATTCAGTTCTATCACTATCATATCTGCTGTCGCTAAGGATAGTGTGAAGTGATGTGGCTCTCCTCTGCCACACACAGCTTGTTCTCTCTCTCACCCTCTCACCCAGAGGAGGCACAGCATATGTACATATATTTTATATTTTGGTAGGATTTGGGGAGAAGATGGCAAAGGAGAAATAATGTGTGCTCCCTAGAACAGGTTTATAGTAGAGAAGGCAATGGTGGAAAAGAGATGGAGATGGGTTTTGTTGCTGGGAGGCTCCTTCCATTCCCTCAGGCAGAGCGCAGCTCTACCAGCTGCCTCCCAGTGCCCTCAGTGGCCATAGGGATTTCCAGACATGGAGATAAAGACTCAGAATTTCATGAATTATTCTGCAAAAAGTACCAGGGCAGCTGAAGGCACCCTCAGAAAAACAGTATTTCCAAAAGCACAGAGTCAGCCCTTCATCTTGTGTACACAGGCCAGTTAGACCATTGCAGTGAAACATTCCCTCTGTACTCGGCTCTGGTGAGGCTGCACCTCGAGTGCTGTGTTCAGTTCTGGACCCCTCACTGCCAGAAAGGCATGGAGACCCTGGAGTGTGTCCAGAGAAGGGCAGTGGAGCTGTGAGGGGTCTGGAGCACAAGTCTGACAGAGAGCAGCTGAGGGAACTGGGGTTGTTCAGTCTGGAGAAAAGGAGCTCAGGGGAGACCTTATTGCTCTCTATGACGACTTGAAAGGAAGCTGTGGCATGGTGAGGATTGTCCTCTTCTCCCACGTAACAGCAATAGGACAGCAGGGAATGGCCTCAAGCTGCATCGGGGAGGTTCAGATTGGATATGAGGAAAATTTTCTTCTCCAAAAGTGTCGGTGCACTGGAGCAGGCTGCCCAGGGAGGCGGTGTCCCTGGAGACGTCCAAGAAAAGGGTAGATGTGGCACCAAGTGAATCACAGAATCACAGAATCTCACAGAATCACAGAATGGCCAAGGTTGGAAGGGACCTCAAGGATCATGAATCTCCAACCTCCCCACCACACACAGGGCCACCAACCTCCCCATTCAATACTAGACCAGGCTGCCCAGGGCCCCATCCAATCTGGCTTTGAACACCTCCAGGGACGGGGCATCCACAGCCTCTCTGGGCAGCCTGTTCCAGCACCTCACCACTCTCATAGTAAAGAACTTCCCCCTGACATCCAACCTAAATCTTCCCTCCCTCAACTTAAAAGCATTTCCCCTTGTCCTGCTGTTATCTACCCTTTCAAAGAGTTGATTCCCGTCCTGTTTGTAGGCTCCCTTTAGGAGGTCAATGGGTCACCCCGCAGCCTTCTTTTCTCACTTCTCTGACAGTGACACAGTCTAAAGTGATTAAAGGCATGGATTTATGGCTGGACTCCATGACTGTAGTGGTCTTTTCCAGCGTTAACAATTCTATGATTCTGTGATATTTTTCCCACACTTGATGGTATTCAGGCACATTTGAGCCCACATGCTTGGGGAACCCCTGTGCATGCTGCACCCACACTGGGTTCCTTTGTGACAGGACCCCGTGTGAGGAGCCAGCACGGTGGTCTGAGGACTTTTTTCCTCACCGCCCCCTCAGCCCCTTCCTGCACGCCTTCTGCCCGCTATGGCAGAGGACTGGAGGACACAGCCCGTGCCAGCAGCCGAGCGGTGGGCCATTCCCAGTCTCAACGGGGAGAACTGGGTTGGTGTGCTCCTCCCGGCCGGCTGGGGGCGCACTGGCAGCGCGGCGTGTCCCCTCCCGCTCGCCGTACGGCGGCGCCCCGCCGCCAGGGGGAAGCAGCGCTTCGCCGCCATCGCCTCCCGCTCCGGCCGGAAGTCCTCCGCGCGGAGACCGTTAGGAGCCTCGGCTCGGATTGGCTGGCCCTGGGGTCACGACCCGGAGGCGAATCGGCCATGTTGCTGGGTGACCCCGCGCGCGGCGTCTGAGGATGCGGCTGCCGTGAGGCCCTGGGGTGCCTCTCCCGGCCCGTGCGGGGGGTCGGGCCGGCAGCGGGCGTATAGAGCGGTACCGGGCTGCCCGGACCAGGCCGCGGAGCCCCGTCGATTCCGCTGTAGCCGGGCTCGCGAATCTCAGCTGACGGCCCCGGCAGCTCCGGGAAGGGAGAAGTGGCCGCAGCCTCCCGCTCCTCCCCTCTCCTTCGGTCGGCCGGCCGTTCCCCATGGCAGCGTGGTCCCGGCAGGCCGTCCTGACCCTTTACCGGGCTCTGCTGCGGGAGGGCCGCGGGCTGCGCTACACCGACCGGGATTTCTACCTGGCTTCCATCTGCCGTGAGTTTCGCAAGAACCGGGGGCTGCAGCGGCTGGAGGATAAGGAGAGGCAGCTGGAGAAGGGGCAGGCTTTCCTGCAGAGCAAGTTGGGGGGCCTGGTGTAGAGCTTCCCCTCCTCCCCCACTTCCCTCTTTCTAAAATCCTTTCACCTACCACGGGATGATGACTGCTTCCTGCCCACTGCTACCTTGAAATTGGCCAGAAGGTGCCTCCACAGCCACACCAGGAGGGTTCTCCTGTTCTCTGAACAAATGCTTTAGGTCACAGGTAGGTCCCTTATGCTGATATAGCCCTGTTCTTCATGGTTACATGGCAGTTAGCTTTGTGCAAGCACATTATTTTTTGCCTTGTGATGAAAATTGCCTAGATTCCTGATCAAATGAGGTAGGAACATTCATTTTTAAGCGGTAACTTCACTTTAGGAAATACATAAGTTCAGGCAGGCTCTGACACTTCAGCTGCCTTTATCATAGAAATGTAATCTTAAATCAAATTGGGAGAGTTTTCTGGTGTTTTCTTTCAGTTTCAATCCACCCATGTGCAGAGCAGTGGCAAAATGCAATTTGCTTGTGTTGTTGACCAGGGAATCTCTCTGAATTTAAACATAAAGGTTAGAGGTTAAATGGGATTTGGAAAAACAAAAACAAAAACAAAGTGCATACATAAGAGAACATTCACATTTGTGTTATGCAGGGCTTGTATGAAAACCAAACCCAGCAGCCTTGAGGGCAGGAGTAAATATCAGGTGCAAGCGAGGAGTTGTTCCCTTTGTGGTGTGCTGTGGTTTGCAGTGCCAACTCCTAGATGTCTTTGAAATACCTGGTACCAACTGTTGTCAGAAATAAGTCTGAGAGTGGATACTCTAAGGCTCTTGAGATTTTATCAATGACAAGAGGCTGGCAGTCTGTGTAGCCATATCTATGAGCAAAGTTGCAGACCTTAGACGGAGGACGAGAAGTTAAATTTGTGTAAAATGGCTGAGCTCTGGCTGAAAAGCACCAGCTAGAGTTGCCTTGTTGTGATCCATTTGTTTGATGCTCCCTTCCAGGTGGGATGGCGGGCGCTGGGCCACGCAAAGGCAAAAAAGACGACAATGGCATTGGCACAGCCATCGACTTTGTGCTGTCCAATGCCCGGCTGGTGCTGGGCGTGGGTGGAGCTGCGATGCTGGGCATTGCCACGCTGGCTGTCAAACGGGTGAGCTGGTGATGTGGGGAGGGAAGTAAAAAGACATGGGATGTTGGCACTGGATGGGGAAGAACGCAAAAACACTGGGGCCTTATCAACTGAAACTGTGCCTGGTGATGTTCCTTTAGATGTATGACCGTGCAATTAGTGCTCCCAGCAGCCCCACTCGCTTGAACCAGTCAGGAAAGAGAAGCTGGGAAGAGCCAAACTGGTTGGGATCCTCCTCACGCTTACTGAGTCAGGACATGAAGACTAACCTCAGCCGCTCCCTGCAGACCCTTCCCACCGACACTTCGGCCACAGACACAGGTACAGAGAGCAGTGTGGCAATTCCATGTTGCAGAATCGTCTGGCCTGTCAACCCTGTTAATCCTTTAAAGGAACATGGAAGAAGAGTGCTCTCTCTAACCTAGTATTTTGATGCTTTTGTTTTAAATTGAGCTATTGTTAGCTTCAAGGATTAGAAGTCAGAGTTAGTGAGTAATAGTCACATCTGTTGACATTTTTCATTTCTTTCATTTCATGGATTTTATTTTCCTTCAGACTTTTCTTTGAAACTCTTTGTTGCTTTTCTTTGGGCCTTTCCAATTCATTTGCCTCTTTTTAAGAGAATGCTTAAGCGGTGAATCGTAGAATCACAGAATCCTTAGAGTTGGGAGGGACCTCTGAACACCATCTAGTCCAGTTCTCCTGCAATTAACAGGGACACCCACAGCTAGTTCAGGTTGCCCAGGGACTGATCCAGCCTGGTCTTGAAAGCCTCCGGGGATGGGGCATCAAACATGTCACTAGGTAACCTGTTCCAGTGCCTCACCAGGTTTTTTCTTTATATCTAACCTAAATCTCCCCTCTTTGAGCTTGACTGTGCTAGTCATTTATGACATTATTTTCCATGTTATTTCTATGATCTTTCTAATAATTTCTGTAACACTTTTGGCCTTTTTAGTGCTGCTTATCACTAAGCCAGTGTTCATCAAGCTGTAAAAAAGCACTTGGCAGTTGTCTTTCCAAGTGCAGTGATAAGCAATTCAACCCTTAAGTGTTTTTTAATGTGATTTTTTGTGGTATTTTGTTGTTCTTATTGGTTTGATTTTAGGAGATTTTGGGAGTTTTACACTTTGATTTAAAACAAAAAAAGTGGGGGACCTTATTAGGCTGACTGACTTTGAAACAGCAAAATAACAAGCAAGCTTTAACTTCCCAGGTATTCTACAAGAAATTTAGCTTTGGGATGGTAATAGCTTTTCTGCTGAGGAAGTATTAAATAACTAGACAGTTTTGTTAAAGGGGAATGAAGAGCATTTGATCGGATCCACCAGAGATGAAGATTGGGGCCCAAAATACTTAATAAGACTGTTTCACGTGTTTGGCTTAAAAATAAATTAAAACGCAAGGTGAAAAAATAAGTTGTTCCATGAATAGTCAATAAAATGACTTTGTGGTTTTGTGGGTTACTTCCTGGTCACACAAGTCCTGAGATCTGTCCAAAAGACTCCAGTGAGACAAAAGACAGCAGCAGCTGAAGCTGAGCAAGCTGAATCTGTGTGCTGTTTGGTCAGCCATTCTGTATGTGTTGTGAGGTGGTTCATGTGTCTGTTTCCGAACAAGTGTGTGACAGCTGCTTGCCTTAAATGCACCACTGATTTGGGAGATTCTCCTGCACTCTGTTAAGTTCCAGAGCCCTTCCAAAGGCTTAGGATTCCCCAGGTCTGTAATTCTTCCTTAATTCTTATTAATGACTTCTGAAAGTAGTCTGTGCAAAGAGTAATCTGAGAGAGAGAGAGGGATGCCCAGCTCATTCCGTAAGGAAACCAGCCTGGAAAAGGGGGCATTAGAGAAAAAGTGCAGATTAGACATTGCTTTATAATTTAAGCAGCGATGTAAAGCATTACGATGCTGTTACCCATATAAGAGCATGCTCTTAGCTCTTTGTTCAGTTAAAAGTTGAGGAGGTTTTCAATTAAGGCCATGATTGCCTGAGCTTTACTGGCTCCAGAATCCATCATTTTACCGTTCACCTTACCATTCTCATATATGATGATCAGAAACTCGATGATTGCTTTTTTCCTGATAGTGTGATCTCGGATCTCTTACCATGGTTACAACTGGGTTTTGCAAATGTGTTGTAAAAATCCATTATAACATTAAAAATGTAATGATGTAGTGATGGTTGTTCAGGGATATTTTGGTGGTCTGTTGGTCTGGCATCATGTTGAAAGCAGCTGAACTGCTAACGGTGCTGAATTTTTGATGAAATGTAGCTAAGAAACTGTCCGCATAGCCATTAATGTTCTTGAGGATTTTCAGTACTCTTCTTTTGACTGATACCTTTGTAAAGCTTGCAAAATGTCTGCTGTAAGCTTTTTTGAGATCTAGGTGACGCGTTTCTGCAGATCACTACCCAGTGAAACACTTACAACAATCAACAGTTTTCCTTCTGTCTTGCAGACTTTTTCCGACCCACAAAACCCAAGCAATCTGCCAAGAGGAGTCAAGTGGAGCTGAAAAAATCCCGCCTTCGTCTGTCTCTGCAAGAAAAGCTATTTGCTTATTACAGGAAGAAGGTAGCTATCCCTACAGATGAGCAGGCCCTAGCCAAGCAAGCAGCCGTGGACATCTGTGCTGAGCTGCGCAGCTTCCTCCGTGCCAAGCTGCCGGACATGCCCCTGCGTGACATGTATCTCAGTGGCAGCCTGTATGATGATCTGCAGGTAATTCCTGGGGCCACGTGATGGGTCATTATTCAGTAGGCTGACGAGACAGGAGCGTTTCAGGCGTCCCTCTTGGCAGTGCTGTCTCAGCACAACATTCTTCTGTAATAAGGCTCTTGGTGTCACGTTTCCCACCGTGAAGCCAGGCATTGATTACTGCAGTACTGTTTGGACAAGCTTGAGCAAGCTGCTTTGGATTTGTCTGCAAAGCATTTGATTTTTGCTCTTTCATTTCTCTGGACTGTCTTGACTGTTCTTTCCTTCTCCCTTTAGCTGTGTTTTGCTTGTTGCTTTTTCAGTACAGCTCTGTTTTTTCTCCATCCCTTCTATCTTCTTTCAGATATAAAAGATAGTTCCCTTCGAACTCCTTTGCATTCATGTAGGTCTTCCTTACTCTTTTTTTTTCTTTGTTTCTTTGTTTTTTTCCCTTTTCTTTATTAAATGCATGACAGACCTTGATTGAACAGCAGTCCCTGCTGCATATCTGCCCGGTGGAAAAATGCCCATAGCTAAAGTGAGTGATTCAGAGGCACGCTTTTTTTTGTTTGAGTCAGAGCTCTGAAATGGAGTGCTGACTGTCAAGTGAAACTTAGATCTGGGTTCTTAATCACCTTGGTGAAAAGAGATCTTTAGTGACCTTTTTCTCATCAATGTGGCAGACAAAGTGAGGGTAGCACCTAGCTCTTGCATGGAATAATTAAAACATGGCAACTTAAACTTGTCTAGAAATGCCTCCAGTTTCAAATTATTGTGTGGCATTGCTGTGCCTTGTGCCAGCTGCATCTCGCATCTGAGAGCAATAGGAGATAAAATGATTCTTCTGTATGTAGTCCATGTCAGGTCCTGAACTATTTGAAGATATCTAAATAGCGAGTACCACATAAGCTTTATCTTGTATTATACCTTAGAGTTGCTTATTGATGATGGGAAATAGCCTATCAAAATGTCTTTTGAGAACAAGAGGCTGTGAATCCCGCACAGAGAGGAAACTGAGACAGCTGAACCTTTATTCCAAGTTTCTTTGAACAGAGGGCATTCCAAAAGGTGGTGAATAAAATAGTGTGGAGAGAAAGCTTGTTCTTACTGACTTTTCTCTCTTGTGAAAGGTAGTGACAGCTGACCATATCCAGCTTATTGTGCCTCTGATGCTGGAGCAGAACTTGTGGTCGTGCATCCCTGGAGAGGAAACTATCATGAACATTCCTGGCTTCTACTTGGTGCGTCGAGAAAACCCAGAATACTTTCCCCGTGGGAGCAGCTACTGGGACCGCTGTGTTGTAGGAGGTTACCTTTCCCCCAAAGCTGTAGCAGAGACCTTTGAGAAAGTTGTAGCTGGATCCATCAACTGGCCAGCAATTGGGTCTCTCTTGGATTACGTGATCCGTCCAGCAGCTCCCCCAGCAGATTTGACACTGGAAGTCCAGTATGATCCAGAACGGCGTCTTTTCATTGACTTCCTACCATCCCTCACTCTGGGTGATGTTGTCCTTGTGGCCAAACCCCATCGACTGGCCCAGAATGACAACCTATGGCGACTGAGTCTGCGGCCAGCAGAAACAGCTCGCCTCAGGGCTCTGGACCAGTGCGATTCTGGCTGCCGTTGCTTGTGCCTGAAGATCTTCAAAGCGGTATGCAAGTTGAACCCAGCCCTGGGTCACCTCACTGCCAGCCAGCTCACCAATGTCATCCTGCACATGTCCCAAGAGGAGTCCAACTGGTCCCAGGACATGCTGGCTGATCGCTTCTTGCAAGCGCTGAAGGGCTTGATCCGCTACTTGGAGGCAGGGGTCCTCCCTAGTGCTCTGAACCCCAAAGTGAACTTGTTTTCAGAGCTTACCCCAGAAGAAGTGGATGAATTGGGCTACACCCTCTACAGCTCTCTCTCAGAGCCGGAGGTTTTACTCCAGACGTAATGGGGCCTTAACTGGGGAAACATCGATAGGATTTAGCCAAGGTGGACTTTGAAATGTGTCTCCTCCTGCACAACCTCCCCTCTCTCACACTATCTACTTCTGGTTCATTTGGTTCATTTTTATTTCCTGCTGTGGAGTTGTTGCTCCCACTGGATTTCTTGGTGCTACTGGTCCATTTCCACCATCTGTGCCCCAGCAGGTACCCATTGGCTATGGAAAAGAGGCTTAAACTGCAGCTGTAAGATCGCTGCATAAATCTTGCTGATGCTCAAGCGTCTACAAAAACAAAACAACAACAAACCCAACCAACAACACGACTATGCACTTCTTTCCCCTGTAGTGAGTCTTTCTTGCTGCAGTGAATCTGTTTTGGTCTGAAGAAGGTGGAAGTGGGCTGGTGAATCCAGTGACAACTTTAGCAGACTTGCACTGAGGTCCTTTCCTTCCCTTGGGTCAGATTTTGTCCTCATATTTCTTTTTCTCTGCTGTACCACACTGTCTCACTTTCCCCCTTTTTTTTTTTTTTTTTTTTTTTTTTTACCAAGTCATGCAGAGCAGACTGAATGAGATGTTCTTGTTAGGGCTGTATGTTGTATGTCTGAGTGCATCATGATTAACAGTATTTAGTGCAGTAGTTCTTTAAAGAGGAGAATGCATATGGCTCTGGCTCCTACAGAGCCTTCTTATCCTTTGTCATCTGGATTCAGGAGTATGGCTTGTCCAGTCTGTTGTAACAGCCTCCAGTATAGGCACTTCTCGCAGGTGTTTCTGCAGGGAGGAAGAAGCTTTTGTGGTGTCTATGTGATGAGGCCAAAGGAGTAGGGCTTGCTGTTCCGGCCTAGCCAGATCTGCTGCGTGTTGCTGGTGGGAATGGCCATGGGAATTGGGAGGTAGGCAGCTCCTCAGATGTGTCTCTGGCCTAGAGGAAGAGAGGTTGATTATGGAAGACAGGTGGGAGGTGCACATGGGAACAGAGAATATTTTTTCATCTTTTCTGAGTTTTTTGCTGTTCTGGCTTATAGGAGGTGGAAGCAGAACTTTATGCCTCGAATGGTTTTGTAATAAGCACATGTAAGCCAGATTCTCACCAGCTGTAAGTTGGTAAGGGTAATAGGGCTAAACTGGTGTCATCAAAAAGGGTCTGTTCCATATGCTGATGTTACTATTCATATGCAGAGTTGGCATTTAGAAAGGAACTGTCTTTGCCATCTGCTCTCACTGTGTGCTTTAGTTCTCTCTCCTGGCACCTCAGAGGTGAGGCAGTTTCCCCTTCCTCATTCCCATGTGCTGACTTTCCAGTGTTCCCAGTTTACAGTTACCATTAAAAAGCTGGTGAGGGCACACCTTCCCACTCTGTATGGTTGGACCTATTGATCATGGACTTCTGTCCACTCTGTTCACCTCTGCTATCAGGCTGTTCTCCCTTGGCTGTCCTCTCATCTGCTGCTGGACTGTGGTGTGGCTTTTGGGGGCAGCTGATGCACTGTGGGTGTCTCTTACACTAGCTGCATGTACTCTGTGCTGCTGTCAGTCTTTTGGCCTCCTGTCTTCAAAGAGTTGGAGCCCTCCTGAGTCTTGGGCTATGTGTATCAAATGATGAGCACAGCCAGTATTACAGAAACATAACCCCTCTTTAGTACCTTTTTTTCCTCCTCCCTAGCCAAGGAGGCAAGAGTTCAGAGGGAGCAGGTATCCTTTTCTCCTTCCTTCCTCTCAGGACTCCCCTTTGACAGGGAAGTTTCAAGGTGAGTTTCAGAAGTGGAACCGAGGAGGAGTGTCTTTACCCCCTGTTTTCCTTTTAGAGGCAGTGCTGGTGAGATGAGGGTAGGGGCATCTTTCTCGGACGATCCGTCCATTTTAGACAGTGTGTCAGATAGTATTCTGTATACAGTGATAACATGACGATGCATTTTAAATTATTTAATCCTTAGGTTACAGGTATTTTCTAGACTGCCAGATGCATACTTTTTAAAGTGTGTGTGTGTATATATAAAGTCTGTAGTCTGTAAAAGGTAAACAAATTCCGTTTGTATGATTTTGTGTTTCGTATGTTGTGCAGCAGTCACTGTTGCTCAGGTGTTGATTGCTTTTCACTCTGGTTCCCAGATTACACCCACTTTTCCCTGCCCTCCACTTCTTTTCTGTCAGCTTTCCTGCCCTAAAAGCAGATGGATAAGACTTGGAGCCCACAGGCTGTCTGGGAAAATTCTCTTTTCTTCTCATTACTTGAAGGTCAACAAAAATATTAACGTATCGGGGTTGTCAGGCATTCCCCTTCTGTTCATTTACTCAGTGTGATCTCACCATCACTCGGTGCTGAATCCAATGCCATGGTCTTCATGTGGAACTGAGCAGCAGCATGGTTTGGAATGATAGACACTATAATTGCAAAGGTGAGAAATAAGCAGGAGGAAGCCACTGTCTGAGCTGCATAAGAACAGTTGCCACGTACATATCTGTATATAGAATTTTTCACATGAATGCTTTTACTTCTTCCTGGCAACCTAATGAATTAATATTTTATGGCCATTTCTTGCTGCTATCGAGCTCAATTTGTGTATCAAATGGAGACTGAAGCTGCCTTTTTGCCTTTTCTGTAGACTTTGCTCCACTTCACTTGAATCACGTCCATCATTTCTTCCCTTCAGTTTTTCCCTGTTCTGAGCTAGCCACAAGCCTGTTCCTGGGAGGCAGAAGCTCCCCTCCTATGGACAGCCACCACCATGAGCAGCAGCTGCCCTGGCAGTGGCAGTCTCAGCAAAGGCCAAAGATGTAATAGGTCAGAGGGACACTTGCAATGAGAAGTGTTTCAAGAGCAGGGTCAAGTGGAAGGGGTGATAAAGGCAGGGAAGAAGGAGCAGAGCAACTATGCAGGAAACTTACACTAAAGTTGTATGAAGCTTGTGGACAAATGGATTGTTGCAGAGTCTTTTGAATCAGCACCTTTCAGTGTTAAATTGGGTGCATATGTTTATATACAGCCAGGAGGGCTGAATTATAGGTAGGCTCCTTTCTCATCGGAGCTGTAGCACAGAGCAGGATGACCTAAAGACGAATGTGAAAAGGGCAGCTCTTGGCCACCTTCCTGGCAGAGCAGCTCAGAGACAAATTGATTGTAAGGAGCCCAGAGCGTGCATTGCCTGCTTGCTGCCTGAGCTCCTGGAATGCCTTGGTATGTTCTGCTGTAGCTTAGCTTCCACAAGCTTCTCACGAGATTGTCATCTGGTTCCCTGTAAATGCGGGGCAAGGACCAACTCGCTGAGCAGTGGCTTTTCACTGCTGCTGAGCTTTACCACTAATCTTTCAGCTCGGATGAATTTCTTTTAAAGTGTTCAGAAGCAATTACGGAACCAAGAGGCTGCTTGCTGCCTCTCAACCCGCACTGTGTGTGTGGGTACTTGCAGTGTGCAGTGAAGAGATGATGCCCCGTTGCTCCTAGGTCTGGAGGCTGTGGACTTGCAAGGGGAAAAGTCTCAAGTGCATGGTCTGTGACAGAGTGCGTGAAATTCTGAAATAAAATGACTTTCCACAGTAAACTGAATGTCTCTGATGTGTTTATAAACAAAGGAGCTTCTCTTTGTTTTTGTACCAGGGAGGAGCGTCAGCTTTCTGCACCACACCACACCGTTCTCAGGGGACTGTCATGCCCCTTGCTGATTCACTGCTTTCCCTTTACAGCTTGGGGCGCTCTGCAGCTGCCTTCCGAACAAGTAGGTTGGCGCTGCAGCACGCTCGCTCCTGTCAGTGCTTGCACCAGTCACAAGATAATGATGGCTCTCTGCCTTTTCTCCTTTCTCTGACAGCTCACACGCCTGGGCAGGCACCCACGCTTCATGTGGTTCTCCAGACTTCACAGGCTTCCGTGCATCTTTTAATATTGACTTTCCTGCACAGCCTTTCCCTGCCCTTGGCTCAGTGGCACCTTTGTTTCTACATGCCCAAGTGTGCTCCTGTCTTATCCAAGCATCAGCCTTGGGGCGGTGAGGAAGCTGCTATAGCTCCAGTACACAGCAAGCCCCAGTTTTGTGTGTCTGCTTTGGGAGGTGGGGAATGTGTTTGACATAAAGAGAAACGTGAAGTGATGCCACTTCTGATGAATCCCTGCTCCTTAATGCTCAAAAGACATGCTAGGGTAAAGACATCCTGTGAGAATTGTTTTAATGAGGGCTAAGCAATTACCATTTAACTAGCTTGGAGCGTATGTTGTGTTAGAAAGGGAGTCTCCATCTCTAGCATTATTCTTCCTGATACCCCTTGTCTATTTTTTTCCTTTAATCTATTCCATGATAGAAACGGATCAGATGAGATCAAGCATATTTCACATCATATGGTCTCTTATGGGAACAGCTAATGCAAGCTGCTCTGTGGAAGCAGTGCCAACTATGACACCCCTCACATTAATGCCCTTGGAAAGCTTAGGGCTTGCAATCCATATTTAATGTATGTAGTAGTTTGCACTTTTGCATAAAAGTTGTCCCGGCATGCACAGTGAGATCAAAAGATAGGATTTGGTTAATGGAGAGAAGAAATAATTGAGTGGAGTCATGGTAATTATTTCATGTATGCAAAAGGTTGCTGCAAAGAACGGCACAAATGGCTCTCTGCAAATGCTCTGGTTCTCTTTTGTTCTTAGCCTAATGAACAAGCAGCTTATGAAAGCATACCTTGTTAAATAAGCACAGTCCTGGCCTGGAAATGAATGCAGCCAAGCTTACATTTAAAAATTCAAAAGATACAAAACCTTAACATAGCTGTCATGCAACAAATATGCCCTCTACACAATTGATGATAGCATGGTGTAGCAGTTTTATTGGCATACTCTGAGAAGGACAGTGTTATTCACAAGTCACTGAGCCAGAAATGGGGTGGTAAGCAGGCTAATAATATCTTTATAGTATGTGATCCTGTGCAATAACCTTGCAAATGGTGAGGCTGAAGAGACTGGTCAGACCAAAGGGTAAAGCAGAGATCTTGAAGTCATTCCATTTATAGAAAGTATTCTTGTCATTTAATGGATAGCGGGAGAGAGGAGTGTGGCATATGGAACTCAAACTTTTCTCCATCTTAAGCTTTCCAAAGTAACTCATTCAGTAATGAGTTCTGAACGCAATCACTTTAAGCAAACTAAAAGTCAGATGAGTTTTTATTTTGCTGGTTCAGTTTCCCTAGCTCCAGTAGCTAAGTAGCAATTTGATCTGCCTTTTCAAACTCAGTGCTAAACTTCTCAAGGGAAATATATATGTGTATGTGTATATATATATATATACGTATGTATATAAATTCTATCCACATTCCTCATGAAAAGGCTTGTCCATATAAATAACAAGCAAAAGTTGCTTCCATGAGTTTTCTGGGTTTTGTTATTTATTTTAAGATTTTAAGCCCACCCCTACCCCTGCTTCTTGTGGTAAAATCATTGCCATTCCACAGAAGCAAAGGCAGCAGAGACACACTACCCTGTTAGACATCCCACTGCAATGATCCCAGCCCTGTAAGGCCTTCTTGTCTCATTCTGCTCAGGATTGCGAAGGAGGTGAGCATTGTAGGCAACAGACACAAGGGCATAGATGGCAAATGACAGAGCTCTGAGTAAAAGAGCAAATTGGCTCTTTAACTGGTCCCACGCCAGACATTTTGTCAAAACTCACAATGCACTGTAGGCAGGCTCCTCACCACCTTTGAAAGACAAGAAGCAATCATTCCTGGAAGGAGTATGGCAAAGAGACATTTTTGCCTTCAAATTCTTGAATTTATTTAGCATGATGGTTAGTTATGGCCTTAGACATAACTACCAGCAGCTACCTAGATAATATCATCTGAATTATGTTCAGGCTCCTAGTTGTTTATAGCAGTGGTGACATGCTGTCAGAGGGCCTGAGATATGCAGAAGCAAAGATAACAGAAGATGCAATAATCCCACAGAACTGCACTCCCACGTTGCTTGTCAGAGAGTGTTGGCTGGGCTCCCAGCTTCCTGGCATTCAAGTGGAGGTTGGGTTTTGCTGAGGCAAGCGCGTGACCAAGGCACAAATCTTCCCTCAATTCCCAAATCACCACAAAGGGACAGCAGCAAGCACCTAGGATAATGCCTTTTATTGAACGACAAACTAGTGATGTGTACTAAGAACTCTCTTAAAAAAAAAAAAACAAAACAAAAAACCAAAAAACTAATTGCTTTCTTGCATAAAAGAGAAAGTAGGAAAAATGATCCATCTTCATCACTATGCACTGCAAAGGAAGATGTGTGGTGTTGTGGGCACAACGTTCTCCCAAACCGTGTGGCTCCAGACAAACTCAGCCCTTTTATGGTCAGATGGAGTCTGCACTGCCTCAGGGAGACTCACTTTTTTGGTGAGTGTTCAGCTTGCAGATCAGTGTCACTGAGAATTCCTGACCAAGACGTTCAGATGTTACTTTCCTGAACAGTGCCTACATTGCCTCAAACGCAGAGGAGATGCCCACCTTTGTCACAATCCCAGGAAAATTCTCACCCTCTGAATGCTGAAAGAGCAGGCCAGCAATACCCCCTGGCAGAGGTGGGTTGCTGTGGCTGATTCCTCAGACAGAACTCCCACAGAAGTCAAGCTCAGAAACACATTCCTGCTGGCAGCACTGTGAAGCTCCCTCACCAGGCACCACAGTGGCACGAGTAAGAGGGGCAGTAGGCTGAGGAACCACAACACCTACTAAAGACAATGCTTTGGCCACAGAGTGTTTAGGGGGACTATTCTCCAGCTAGTCCACAGCCAATCCACCCGTAACACACCTGAGGAAGCTGTGCTAAGGCTGCCCATGCCAGCCACCAGCTCAGGCTGAAGTGTAGGGAGCAAAGCAGATTTCTGGAAGAATCTTCTTTTCTTTGCCAGTGCAGAGACTTCAGGAAGTAAAATGAGAGTCACAGAGGCAAAGGTTATCAACTTGGTATCCTGAACACATCAACATTCGCCAAGAATTTCCCCTTTCTCCCCCATAAACAAACACATATATTGAAACAGATTAAAGTCTGCTGGTAAATTCCAGCTGCCAACAGCTTTTGCTTACAAAGTGGAGAAGGATTACAAAATAATGGCTGCAGGTGAATTGAAGAACTTCACCTGAGCTGCCTGGTATGCCCGTGCTCCAGCTGAATCTGCCTGCCAGCAGCAGAGACCAAGTGATCTTAATGCATACAAGATATCCTCAGGATCCTGCTTGATTTCATTAACAGAGTACACAGGTTTGCAGTTTCTCTTCCTTGCCTTTCAATATGCTCTGAAGTTACATGAAGAATTGTAGAATCACAGAATATCTCAAGTTGGAAGAGACTCACAAGGATCAGTGAGCTCAACTCCTGGAAAGTTAAAAACAAAAAAAGGAATTTGCATTGCCACGCTCCTTCTCATCCTGTTTCACAGGAAGGTAAGGCACCTGGCACGTGTGTGTCTCCAGCAGATGCTGCTGCTGATGCACCTTCACTTTGGTGGGCACTGATGGGCACTGAGTGCACATGCATCTGCACTGGGAGTCTGCATAATTAAGTCCTGTTGAATAACAGCAGTTTCCAATGAGATACAGTTCTGTTCTTTTATTGTTTGGACAACTGGAAGGTTTTCGTTTGTGTGCTTAACTGCTCCCATGTGTGCTAATACACACAAGGGATTATACTCGACCCTCAAGTCCTTTCATCATAATAAAATACGGCTGGAAGATGAGAAAACCCCCAAATTCCCGGATGCTCCAAACAAAAGTCAGCTCCCTCCCTCTTCACACATATTTTTTGCTAAACATCACTTTCAATCCATTGTAGCTTTGCTTGGGAAATTCATGCTTGGGCAAGTTACAAGTTAAATCTCACCTCCCTCTTACTGGATTTGCACAATGTTTTCCCTCATGGCAGCTGGCCACAGCCTGTCCAGCTCTGAGTAACTGAGCCTCTGGAGAAATGTATTTTGTGAGCTATCAGCATGTGCTTGGCATGGCTGCTTTTGCTCAGCAAGAAAAATGTAGGTGGACAACCAGGAGTGTTTCCATATCTGTCTGAAATTATTGAACTGCAAGTTGCAAATGTAAATTGCAGATTTAATCCTTTTTTTTATTAGTCTCCTTTCAAATGTCAGTGATATTTACATATCAGGACGGAAACATAAGAAAGTGAGGGGGTGGGTATGCAATGAATGATTTATTAGAGATTCTATTTGGTGCACCAGTCCAAAACAAACGAGGCACAGCATATGGCTAACTTATTTTTTGTTTGTACATAATAAAAAATGGACATTAATACCTCCCAGCTCGATCTTTAATCACATATATTCATCTCTCCACCCGGTTTTAAAATGGAAGGTCTATAAAGCAATCCTTAAAGAGCTTACAACAAGGATCTGGCAGAACCAATTCTCCAGTTATCCGTTTGTGCCGCATGAGGGGAGAAGCAACCAAGCACTGCAAATTACCCTGAGCTGCAGAGACTGTAGGTAATTCTCCCTCAAAATTGCTCAGACTTTATAAGCACTTTGCCTCAATCCATCTTTCTGTTTCCCTCAACAATCTCTGCCGGAAAATTTC